TTATAGCAATAAATATTCAGGATTCTAGGTAGTTAGTGTGTCTCAGAGTTTCAAAACTAGTTACGTATCACAGTTAAAAGCAAAGCTTCTTTGGCTGAATCCTGACTTACCGCCTTCAATTAGCATCAGTTTTATCAAATATGCAGATGACCTGGTAGTTTCCGTACCTGTCTCCTCTTCAGCAGATTGTTCTCAACTGAATGATTTTCTATCTACTGTTAGACAATTCCCCCCCGGTAAATGGTTTATGCTTAATTTTTCAAAACTTTTGTTTCAGACGTGAACATAACCCATATAAACCTGCTTAGGTCTCATGATTCCTGTTCTGTTGATGGTTGTATATTAGAGAATGTTAAAAGAATGATTTATCTCGGTGTGCCTTTTTTCGCACCTTTCTTGGTTTCCCCATATCTTACTGGTTTCCAAAAGAATCTTTCACCCAACTTTCTATGTTAGGAAGCTGAAAGTATCTGGTGTAACTTAACCTCTTCTCTTGCATTTTATTAACTCCTGCATCTTGCCTATTTTCCTCTATTGTCCCTTTTTATTCTTTTCTGAGTTTCTGAAAAAGACTGCTGTATTGTGCAGAACTTTGATAATTGTCAGCATAGCTAGTAGTTTATCTCTAAACATTCTGATTGAAAGTGTAGTAGACAAACATGTTAACCACATGTAAATGTGTGGTAGTTTTATCAGATGGCTAGCATCCTCTTCACTCAAGACGTTCTGCGTCTAAGGCGTCAAACAAGATCAGGAGCAAGTATATGCGATTTTATGCATGTACTACTAAATATTAAAATTCAACAATACCGTAATTAACTCGTCTCCTGTAAGATCAAGAAAGTGTTAGGAATGAACTAACTAACCAACTTTCATTTTTGAAAGCAAACTAATTAATCACACAACTTTATATTGTTTATGTATTGAGAATCTAATTGCTAGTGTGATTAACTCTTCATTTTCGAGAAAGTTGTAGATGGAGTAAATATTATCTTTTCTATGTGATTTCCACTTATTCCATTTTATGTATACATATATACTATTTCTGTCCAAGTGATTCTGTATGACATGCTGAAAGTTCTGTACACTATTCCCTAAATATCTTTCAGAATAAAGCCATTATTATTATTATTATTATTATTATTATTATTATTATTATTATTATTATTAACATGTTTCCCATCGTTCGTGCATTAATCAGTGAAGATAATGCTATGAAACTACTGACTCATTTTTCTTATCAGAGACACTTCAATTTTGATAATAATGGTGGTGACATTGGCTAATGCCTTACCTATGAGTCACATTTCTCTTCTTTTCAATATCACTGGACGCTACTTTCGTACTTTGTCGTGAGATGCATACACTGATGATGTCTGAACTAACCAAGGGTTTGACATCTTGAGTTATGAATTCATTTGTTTGTGCTGACTAACTTGACCTGCAAATCACACCCTACAAGCATCCGAACACGCAATCGCTATTTTCCAAATAATCGATATACACAGAGGTATGGTTTTCTCGTTCACGGAATCGGTTTCAACCAGTAAACCACATATTGAGACCCCGCTTCTTTTATCAAGGTTTGAGCAATCAGGCAGTGTCTTTATCCCTACCACAATACGTTTGCCTCATTGCCTACTGCACGACTATGCATGCAAGAGGAATGTAAAAAATATCGGCACTAACCAATTGTCGGCAGTTACTTACGAGTATTAAGGAGATCGGCCTCGAAACGAGATGACTAACTAAAAAAGACGAAAGTCAGCCATTGTTGGTTAGGATAATTGAGCTCCTGGCCATTGTTTAGTAGTCACATTTTATTTAGCCGGACAAGACTGGAAGCTCGATCATCCAAGTTTGTAAAAAAAGCAAGGGAGATTGGCGTTAACAACGAAGGAATTGAAAATGCTAGGCTATTGGTCCCAGTTCCACACTAAGGCATAGGATTGTAAGAGAGAAAAGGCAGACAAATGACACATACTGTCAAAAGTCATGGATAACAACAAGATGAAATAAAGAGTTGTTGAGGCAAATACTGAGATATGAGATAATGGTCGTGATGGAAAAAGTGTGGATGCCTCTGCACCTCTGTGAAAGGTTCTTAGCTGTATCTCCAGGTTGTCATGCGAACCCCAATCAGAGAACCTGTATTTCCTTACACTTTTACATTATCAAATAGAGACTTCACCGATTTCTGTCAGGCTGACCAAAAATGGATTTCTCCCAGCCCAAATGTCATTCAGACTACTACGCAGTTGGTGGTAAATCGTGAGTAGACATAAACAACACATGTCCCTCTCATCAACGCTGTTTACTGACGATTAATGTTTGTAATGTTCTTCGCTATTTCTTTAGTGTTTTGGATTATCTTTCAAGTGTTGTTTTTCGTCCTAGTGAACGCACTGAAAAAGCTCTTATTCTCGTAATGGAGAAAGGTGACTGTGATTTTAGAAAAGTTATTCATCTTCTACGTTCGCGTGACAACAATTCTGCCTCTGATGCATCAGATACTTCTATGCCGTCTTCTGCAGTCGTCTTCTACTGGGAACAGATGTTGAGGTGTGTGAAGGCGCTTCATGATCGACGTAAGTTTTTTCACACTTTGAATTTTATCTTAAATGGTTTTTATCGTGAACTAATATTGTAATGAATGCTTGAGAACTCTAGGATTTATACATCAAAAGTTGCCTGTTCACTAAGTTTGTGTGGTTAATGTATACACTTTTGTCTACTTCTTGTGTAGTCGAATGTATTTCATTTTTTATGCTACTGTGAATGTTGCCTGCACACCAAGTGTGAAGTTAATGTTCAAACTTGGAAACATGGAAAAAACAATACCTCTCCTACTTTGTATCAATTTTCAACCATTTCACCAAGATTCTACAACCACTGATTCCTGTCATCTCAGCAACCCCAGCCAGGGAATCTATATCTCCATTCACAGCTCATACCATCCATCAGAGACTTCATGCACTAGTGAAACGTCTTGGTCTGACCATCATCTTATTTTAGCCAACACTGCAAGTCGAAGTAGGTATTGGCTAGGCATGCAAAACACATGTCCCTGCCACCTCGGTTGCTGAAAGGTTCACACCTTCGTCAATAGACTTGCCCACATTACTTCTTACTCTTCAACTAAACCCAAAATTACTCACATGGTGATTCCATCATACGCGAGAAATGCTACTAATATACGTATGCTGAAAAACTTTTAACCTCTTCATATCACACTTTTAACGGCCATGTCTCACAACCGTATAACAGTACGGAACAGACTGCCGCACAGTACACTCGTCCTTTAATTGATTGTCAGATATCTCACCAATCTGCGACATAGATGTCACAAGTTGGCAAATGACAAACAAGCCTTCTTTGTCCGAGCTTTGATATTGTTAGCAATCAACCCGTTCCAGTTGATTTAACTCCCCAAGTAAGTGAAGTGGTCGATACATCCCATCACTTCACTTCCTATCATTAAACTGGGAGTACTTGCAGCAGACCAGTCCTACAGCATCATCTTACATTTGACAAGTGCCAGAGAGACGCATGCGAAACACTCAAAGTTATGCGAAACGCACTCACAGGACCCTGGATTTTGTTGGCCTCTTTATCTAGCAGGACAATATCGTCTGCATACTCTAAATCAACCAGGTGACCTCCAGGGAGTCGGTCGATCCCTGTAAAGTCAGACGTACCTGAGACTATGTCCAATAGTACGTCTATAACGAAGTTAAATGAGAATAGTGACAGTGCACACTCCTGATGAAATCCACTAGTTGTCGTGCATTCTGAAGACAACTCTTCATAAGCCCTTATACGGGTCTTGGATACGATGTGAGTTAATCTGATTACTCTGTGGTTTCACGTATCGTAGTTGAATACGACAAGGCGCTTGATAAGAAGTGAAATATTTATGCCTTTATTTTCTATCCGCTTAATAAGTAAAATTATGAATGGTTGTTACGTCCCTCCAAGTGTTTCAAAACTGTTGTTCGAAGAAACTCAAAAATCATTAGTATGCTCGTGCGGTAGGCAGTTGTAGGAGTTAATGCTACTGCATAACTGTCAAAATCTTATGACGTTAAGTGTTCTGATGTATGATAGAGTGGTTCACTTCTAACGGAAAACTATTAAAAAATCACACTCTACCGCTTTAAATGTTTTAATTACATCAATCAACTAGATTACAAATTTCTTACTCTTGATCATATTCTGGATGGTATTTCTGATATATATATATATATATATATATATATATATATATATATATATATATATATATATAGGAGTGGGCTCCTGAACAATAACCTTAGACTTCACCCCCGATGATCGCTCGGTTCTTCGAAAACAGAAAGAAGTGACTAAACGATAAAAGTTTATTGTCCAGTCAAATATATACAAGGATTCACGGTTTAAATACATTTTTTGATGGCCCTGGAAAGTCCTACACTTTCCTAGAGAGCTCTTCAACCAGAGTCTCGTGGTTTTTCTGGGATGGCCGGCATTCTGTGATTGGTTCTAAGGGCTTTTCAGAGATTTTCAAGCTTCTTTGAGGAGTCTCGAAGATATTGTTGCACTTGATAACAGTGTTACATCTTTTTCTTGGGAACATCTACTTTTCTTTTCAATTTGAGGGTGTATAAGCTACTTTATCGCACAATTAGAAATTGTTTAGCTTCATTGTAAGTTTTGGTGGTAACTAATTCTATTTATAAGGTCAAGTGACTGAGTGATTTTCAGATGTAGGTTGTTCAATAACTATGCTGAAAAGTGGATTTACGTTATTTGTGCACAAATAAGGACTAGTTTACGCCAGTTCCTTATGTTTGACTGGAATGTGAAGATATCAAAATATAACGACTAGTCTATGACTTTGAGAACGAATTTAATAGGGTAAAATGCATCATTTTAATACTATACATAAAAATGCTCTGAAGAAGAGTAGACAACTTACTGTTATTGATTCTCTGAAACGCCAGTTTACTGAATTAGGTAGTCTTAATCATACAGAGAAATGCACCAAAGACTAAAGTATGGGTGCTATGATCTCAGTGATTTATGGCCGAAAATTTTGATTCATGTTTTCGTCACTTTTTATCATAAAGTTTCTTTCATCTATCAGAAAGTGGCTGTTAATTTGTTTGCGAGGTGTCTTATGCAAGGTTTTCAGTTTTTTAGCGCACAGTAGTGATTATTACATCTATTTATTGTTTTCTTCAGTTTGGAGCATTTGTTTCATTTTAGGTGTTGTTCATTTAGACTTGAAACCACAGAACTTTGTTGTGGTATGTGGACAGTTAAAGCTAATTGATTTGGGAATTAGTCATCAACTGTTAGATGATTCAACAACGATACAGCAATGGTTGAAATTAGGCACACTATCATTTATGAGTCCAGAACAGTTGGAATCAGCTTCATCTTCATGTAATCTGAATCAGTCGTCTTTCTGTGGTCGACAAGACAATCAAGAAAACTTGTTTAAGGTTCGTTTCATAATATTGCACAGATATTATTCTTTGTTCATTTATTTTCTGTTAGATAATGCGATCCAACTTCTTGGTTTTCAATATATCTTCGTTGTATTTGTCCTGTCAGGTTATATTTTGTAAATACCGTCATGACAGTGATAAAAATGATGTAACTCACTAGCCATCAGCAATAGACTATGTATATGATATAAACTAACAATGTCGTTCAGGTAATCGAACTCATATAATCTAAACAGGGCACAAATTTATCTTCTATTTGTTGAAAGTCAGACGCTTAAATGAATGAACCACGACAAAATGGTGCACAAAATAATTAGAATAGGTCTATAAAGTTAGCCATCTATCGTATGGGAAGTGCTATGATCTTGAAAATTAATAAACTCTCTTCAAAACTAAGAAATGCATGTACCTTTTATTCAGATAACGATGTTCCATCTGGTTGCTTTTGTCGAAGATTGTCGAACTCCTGTCGAGAAAATATGTTTATTAACTGATCGTGGTTAATGATGGATTATTATCCATCATGGTTGCTAACGCTTGATATCTTTTTGCACTTATCACTAAAAGATTAATTGGCGCTTTATTGACAGAATCTCCTCTTAATAATGTGCTAAACTCTGATGAACAGTTTGGCTAATCTTTTGAAATTTCTCACTGGACTAACTTACAGTCAAAGGCAGAGGTTAAGAATTATTTCATTTTATGATTAAACGATGGTAATAGCGTCAATGATGCTGAGAAGTGTATAATTCTCAATGCTTAGGTATCTTCTGAAGTAGGACATGAATGAATGATACTTCAGTGTTTAATATGTAGCCAAGTGACTCTCAAAAATCATTTTCCGGTTATATGTCGCCTACAAATGTTAACCTGTTCACTTGCTTTGTTATGAATCGATTACAACGTTTAGATTAATTTATGTACGAAAGAACTCCATTTAATTTACAACATTCCTTTATAAAACTTTCTTGCCTAAAGGTTGGACGTAAATCTGATATTTGGTCGTTGGGAGTCATTTTGTATTTAATGGTGTATGGTAAATCTCCGTTTAACCAAAGTACACTACAATCTCTCTTGTCAGCCATTATAAATCCAAATGTGAATATTTCCTTACCCCCTATCAGCAATATGGGTATTTATAAGGTAAGTGTTTTTCCGAATGATTTTGCACTAAATTTACCATGGAGAAATTCGCTTAGTATTCGGGATTTAATTTCCAACCTAATGGTGAAAATGTTAGTATGGTCTAGTAAGTAATTCGTAAGCTTGTAACTGGTTTGGGAATATATCGATTGCATAGAAAATTACTCTGCAATAGTAATGGCTATTATAGTTTCTATTTAAAATCTCTTGAGCATTAGTTTAAGGGCGATAAAAGTAAAGGGCATTACACCGATTCTTAGATGTATGCACTCTTTGATGTCTTCTAAAACTTGAATATTTGCATTGACCTTTATCTTCAAATTGCCTACTCTCTCGCACAACTTTGCCAATCTTGACATCACTTTTTCTGAAAACTTGTTTTTTTTATTGTGAGGTGTGACAACTCGAACCGATGCACTTATTTGGCGAGGTTCTACGTTGTTTTTTCGTCTGACCGAAGCACACTGGTTCAATTTGCTACATTGTGCAAGAGCACAAGGAGAATATGAGCAAATCAGAGAAAGTAAAGTATAAAGTACAACGATGGAACAAAATGAAAGACGATTGAAGGTTAAAGTTTTGCACAGATGCGATTGACTTTGAGTTAAACCACAACTTTCGGCTATTGATTCGTAATATACTAAGACCGGACAGTACAGACCAACTGTCAGTGAATTCATGTATCGTTTTTTGTTGTTCATCCGCTAACTCACTAATACATTCCTCAGGAAGGAAGTTACAAGACGTTTGTATAACTAGTATTACCGACAAAAACACGGTGGACTATATGCCCATAAACGTTATTAAACAACTGTTAATTGAGGTAAATGACCATAGCCAACTATTGTGGTGAATAACGATTGATCTTAAAGCCACCTTAATAGCGACTGAAATACCTAATTAGACTTCTTGATTTCGTGAAAATCTGCATTTCCAGCCGAAATACAAAAGTCTAATTGTCTATTTCAGTCGTTGTTAGGTTGTCCTTTAAAGTTACTCTGAGTAACTGTCGAGAAGTCATGTGCTCGATTTTAATATTGAGGTGTTTGAGGGTTTATCGAAACTTGTATGTACTTTCTCTTGAGACCGCTTAAATGTTTCGATCTAGAAACCCCCAGCGTTTACTCAATATGATCCGTTAGATGTTAAATTCACTCGTTGGCGTGAACTTTCTTTGGTAATGCCTGGTAAATAATGCAGTACTCAATCGATCTAAGCTTACAGTTTCACTGGATTATTCACTTCTTTGTCTTAAAATCGTTGGTCAGATAACGTCATTCTCCATAAAGTATCAGGTGCCTTATAATTTCGTTCTGAGCGCTTTCAGTCATCAAAGAGCTTTTAAATATGAAAAGGAGGTATGAACTTATTCATATCTGGTGAAATTTTCATCAGATTCTTCAGCACGTAAGTACTTAGCGTTACATCACTGTAATCAAGTAGGAATGGCATCTAACTTTGAAAAACTGGCGATTGTGACTGTCTGTTTGATGAAATTCCTAAACAGGTCGAAAGATGTTACTGTCATTTCAGTTAATGGTAAGTAGTCTTCTTGTTCAGTGTTATCGCTTATGTCACAGAAGCATATCCCTTACTTCCCAATATTGTTGACGGTGTGATGAACTTCAAGTTCACTAACGATCTAACCTTACTATCAAAAACTATATTCAAAAGCACAGTCTATATACTTTGAGACTGGGAGTCAGTGTATTGCAAAACTGTCCTAAAACCCGCTAAAATATTGCTAATATTCCTAAAGTAGTTGAACATTCCATGGTTTACAACAAAAGAAATGGTTCCCGTATACAACGAAGTTATCTACACCGATAGTTGTTTTCATGCAATATTAGGTAGTGATAGCCACCATGACGTGAATCACCCAATATTGTCGAATTCGAAATTGGATGGGAATACGCAAAAGGTGATGCTCATCAAGTGAGGCATATCCCTGAAATTAAGAGAAACAGATCAATCACTGTGAGGGGAACTTGACAGATTAACATTTAGGACAAGATAAAAACCATAGTTCGTATGAGTCCGTTATTGTGATAAGGTGACAGTAATATATATTGTTAGGCTTTTCTCAAAGTAACCCAGTTCATAGAATACAACTACATAATTATCACAACTATATGGGATGTGAGCTGCCTTTTTGCTGAATTATATGCTGTTGAAGTGTTCTCACCGGTTATTTATTATGAATTCAGTTCATGAGTACGTATCACAGATGTAGGGTAAAAATGTAACGGTTGTGCGATAGAAGGTCTTATCTCCTACCAGTGAATCATTCAGCCACCCACTGCGTCGTTCAACAGGAGGAATATCATTCATCTAAAGGAGCTGGTTACTACGATCGGTTGTCATTGTTGTTCTCCATTAAGCACATATTATTGTTAGTTTGCTTGATTGTCTTCTCATCAAATACGTCCACTCAGTGATTGGTTTTCGGAGAAACGCTGTGATAACTCACTGACTACTTGACTGCTACTCCTTACTGGTGATGGGCCATCTGATAAGAACTGACTGTATCACTCAGAGGTGTCGGCCCTGCAAGAGGTCTGTTGTTGTTTAAGTAGGCTAATGGTAAAGTTTCATTTCAGTCAGTACTGAATCACGCCATTTTATATCTACAATGGTAGATTTATTTCTTCAGTGTAGCAGATAGACTTCCTTGGTGAGGGAGTACCGACCTAACACCTTACACCAAAGTGTGCCACAGTGTCGTATACCTTAGTCCAGTAGAACATAGAACACCCGATGGACAGATTTCTATCAGGACTTGACTCAGACTTCACAGCCTCATCGACTGATTTCCATCCGATGACCGATTCTAGTATCCACGTTCGCCTCTTCTATGCTCAAGAAGTGTCCTCTGATGTTTTTTTTATTGACAACCTGGATTCCTATTGTTTTTTTTTCTATCAAAGGCATTGGAACGGAGTTTGGTTCGAAACTATTTAGAAAGGGCAACTGTTGACGAATTGTTAAGTTATGAATATGTACGCAGTATATGCACTAACCACTGGTGAGTGTTTCTTTGATATGTTGCTTTTGCTTTTGTCTTATTCGCTGTTGGGTGAGTTGTTTTATTGATGACGTTGTATGCAAGTGGAAACACTATATTGTGATCTATTTGACGGTTAGCAGTGGAGTCCAGGATGCGCGTTTCGTTCTATTTTGGACTAGTCAACCGGATGTACCTACACCCCAGTGACTGAGTAATGTTCTCAAGGAGGCTCAAACCCAGTGCCGATCGCTTGAAATGCCTAAGCGACTGTGGTATGAGAGCCACCACTTATGCAACGGGTATCAGTTGTTCTTTATTTATACTTGGAATTTCGCGTTGCTATATTGAGTCGAATTAAATTCATTAAATTGCACTTTGTGCAAGTTTCCCATACTCCTTCTATTGAATGTGAGGAAACGTAATTCCACTTAAATTGATTAAATTGATGTATCATTGAGTAACTGACAGTTTTGAAAACGGAGGAGGAAAGGGAAAGTTTGAGTTTTTCCAACCACATAAATTAATCGGTCAGTCGTCCCAAAGATTTTCTATGCATACCGAAAAAAATAATCAGCTATTCTAAACAGGTCAAATTGTATTCTGTTTCGTCATATTGGTAGAGACTAAAAGTTTTGTAACCAAAATTCAATATATTTTTTATTTGTTTTCAAATGAATACTTTCTTTCTGATTTCATTTGTATGGTTAAGAAGTAATAGAGTATATGACTTTTTCAAGGCATTCTATGACAGCAAGTTAAGGCATAAAGAAATCACCAGTTCACCTAATTCATTTGGTACAATCTGTGCAGGGTTAATAAACTTTGATTGATTTCATAAACCAAAATTCGGTTATCAAACTCTCCATCTCTACCTCCACCTTGTTAGGTTAGTTTTAAGGATTTTCACTCTGTCCCATCCTATTGTGTAGTTGTGTAATTGTATGCATAACTATGGCCGATCAGGCTATCGGAGCACGAAACTCTGGCTAGATCGTGGTAAGATAAGGAATTTCGAAAAAAGCTCGGCCATAATAGCTACGCTTGCAATTACACAACCACATAATAGGATGGGACTGATTGAAAATCCTTACAGCACACCCAACTAGGTGCAGGCAGAGATGGAGGGACTGATCACCGCATCTTGGTTTGTCGAAGCAACACCTACCTAGTACATGCAAAAGGAATGACTAAGCACCTGCTGCGGATTGATGAAAAATCCTACTACCCATATCACAAAGGAGGCGAGAAAATTAGAGCTATATAAACCGCGTCTCAAAGTTGTGGAGTCAATAATGCTGTTCCATTGTGTAATACATCTAATAAATCAAGTAATATGTGATATTGTATGCCTACCTAATTGGATGTATCATACAGTGGAACCGTATTATTTACTCCACAACTTTGAGACTTTAAAGGCCATCCTAACAACTACTGCAACAACCCGTCGAAATTCTTTATGGGAATTTTCCTCACCAGCTAAAATATGTGACATTGTATGTCTACCAGACTGATCGTGTGAGATATCCCCAGGACGCAACCGATACATGGTGTACATATATTTTCCGTCTCTTCGAACAATATGAGTAACAGTGAAGTGACGAGTACTTTTGTTGTGCTAGTTCACTGATGTGCGTGGAGTGTAACCACCAGCTGGAAGCATAGTAAGGTTGTGATGTGCACACTATGTGAGACCTAGTGGTCCTGGGTATTCATTAGTGAGTTATCTGTCCCGTGTTGAGTCGGTTGAAACAGCTGTTTAGTGCTCCCAGGTTTCCAACGGTTCTCCAATTGATGTCAGTCCTTTGCGGATAGTACCTTGAAATTTATGACAATCATTTGATTAAATGTGTAGTATTGTACAATGCCTAATTACTTGCTACTTGTTTTCCTCTCTCCCTAGATGTCCTCGAAATTGAAGATTCTCACGCATACATTCTGTCACGCGCATATATGCAACACAGTCCTTTTCCAGCCTAATCATCTCACTCTATTTTATCATAAATACTTGGTTTGTTGTTTTTAATCTTTTTCAACGTATAATATCCAAGTTATAATGATAGCCTAAATCACAGTTCCTTATGTATGTGATTCAATATAACGCTTTGTTCAACCGATTAACTTCCTATCATATATTTTTAATGGTCTGTCTATATAACGATTTTCTAATTAATTACTCCCCCCAATAAATTTTGTAAATTGAGACATACAAACCTAAATAAATGATTTCCTATACTCCAAATCTTCCAAATGCATGGTAATTTGAACGCAGTGCTAAGTGATTGACCAACGTCTGATGGTGAGTAAGTCGATACAGTTCATTGACATAGCTAACGATAATCAATTCTTACTACATTTTGACATGAGCTATTTTATCCACGGACACACTGATGGCAAGTCACAATAAAAATTGACCAGTGAACACACATAAAAGATGACCGTAGTAATATTGCTAGGAGAGTGTAGTAATAATCACAGTAGTCATTTTTATATGACTATGATTAATATTAGTTTTCTTATCATTAATTGAATGCTGATAATCACATTCCAGACAGCGTTTGGGATTCTCAGCATTTAATATCGCAACAAAATTAGAATTTTTTGAACGTATTCAATAGAAATAGGCGACGCGAACGAACTTGATTGAATAGTAATAATATTATTGAAGATAATAACACTCGATTGGAATGGTTGTTTAGTTACTGTGACAGTAAGATCTAATCAAACGCTCTGTTAATCCTTCAAGATGCACGCTAAATAAGGAGTAAGTGGGTTTTTGTATTTAGCTGTAAGAACTAAACTTTCAGGAAATCGCCTCTTAATCTCAAAGAGGAGGCACGGTGAGAGTTTTGCATGAAGAGGATTCTCGGCACGCGATGAAATAACTAGCTAACTGTTTGTATGAATCTAAATATCTGCCGAGTATAGTGTTCATCAGTAGCATCATAGGTACACCACTAATCTTCTGTACAGCTTTCAAAACCACACACAGTGTAACGCAGTATTCTCTTGGCATCCCATTAGTTATGATCACACTAATAAGTGATAAAATATGCAGATCAGAGTAATAGGAGACATGATGTAGAAGGGAGGAAGTAATTAGGATTCGATGGAAGTGGTGGTGATAGATGAAATAATGACAACGGAATCGCAAAGGATATATCAAGCACCACAATTAAGGTATACTTACATTGATTCAGAATTGAAAATAAATTGGTATATTGGATTACCCTCATCCTGATGATAAGTTGTTTTTGTGATTCTAGTATCTTTATCATGCCAGTCGCTAACTGCAAAATTCTATCATGAATACGGTAATATGGCAACGTAATTGACCTGTGCTGACGAGACTATCATTTGCATTGTGGCACACATTTGCAGCAAAACATAGATTAACTACATTGTCTCAATGACGAAACATTGTTTTCATCAAATTTGAAGTCCCAACTTGGTAATCTGACAGCTAAACCGTCTATCTACATTTGTTTATATTGCTACCGTTTCATATACTTGGGTTCCAACAGTCACATCGCAATTTCGCTTTTCAACGTGTGTAGCTCAACATCCTGGAAGAACAACCTACCTAAAGTTACTGAGTGGAAGGGCTATGTAACGAAGACTTGAATGTTTCAGTCCTGAACAGTTGTCTTTTAATTTGTGGTTATTCAACCGGATGCTGGTTAGAACGTATATTAACCAACAGCCCATTGATATGTATTTGTACTTTTCTTTTCAGCCAGTCATCTGCACACCGCACGTTTCAGGACGCATTATACTCATATATTCTGATTGATTTGTGAAAATAACAGTGAGGAAGTAGTTGTGTTTTGTGATGTATTAACTGGTAAACGATGATGACCCGTGTCAGTCTATTTAATTGGTGCGCTCTTCACTTCAAATAACCGACCGGATAGTAATCATGATTCGCGGCAATTATTCACAGTCCTCCTGTCGGCGTCTTGGCTGATGTATAATTTCGTAGGACGTCACTTCAGAGTTTCAGTTGATAATCGCTAACACTAACTTGCCAGAGGATCCAGATTAGTCACCATACCTTTTAGAAAGAGTCTACTAATGACTAACCGCTTAGCCAGTGACTGTAATTGGGTTTGATTTCACGGGGATACTGAAACTCAAAGCACGACTGCATATAATCAGTCAGCAGTCATTTCCATAGCGTTACTGCTAAGAAGTGTAACAACGAGATATCTAGTGACTACGCACATACTGGATAGTGTTGTCACTCAAATTCGGATGAGACATCATGTCGCTGACTGTGGATCTCAGCCATAGGGGTGAGTGTATGCGGCCTGGTCCGTCTCCTCAATATGTCAGGAATTAACGGTTGCAGACTTGCTGATGTGGCTCAAAATCGATCACAATAGCATAGATAAACTCACTCCTTGTCATCTTCGGAAAGTCAACCGTCATTTATTCATCCCCTTTCCATACACTTTCATCTAATTGAATATCATTCTTTTTCGATTCACTTTTATTTTGTGTGTTTTCGAGTAGTGTGGCGATTTGAACTGATGTGCTTCTGTGCAGTGTTCCGCGTCGATTTGTTTACCTTACTTTTGGCGGTCAGATGTTTCTATCTTGAGTTGAAATATCACAAGCCAACAATTATATGGTATCCTCCATTTTAGTCAAATCTTGATATGACTATGGACAATAAATTGTGTCCGAAACTTAATCCTGTAAACTACACTGTTCCACTGTGTGATAGGTCTGATAAATCAACTAAAATGGAATAACATTCTACCACAGTGCTCAATTTGTACTTTTACATATATAGGAGCCTACCGAAAAACCTGAAGGCTTTGGATTCGGTTGCAGATACTCAAGAAGGTGTAGTATTCCATAATTCCACAACAAACCGATTCGACTATTGGTTGTGCTACTAGATTTTCAGTCATCACTTTTCGCTTCTTTGATTCATGTAGATGTCTACGAAAAAACTACTTAGACTGGAAGAATGAAATTGCTTTTTTTTATTTAGGAATATAATAGGATGTGAAATACGAGCATAAAGAAATATTAAAACAAACTACGAGCTCTTTTGGCTTCAACGTGGTGTAGGAGTGAAATTATGTTCTCATTTTTTTCTGTCAGTACATCATGATGCTAGAATCCACGATATATTGTTTTGTATTCTGATGTCAGTTTTCTCACCAACCTTCAAAAGTAGGTGGAAAACTGTGTTCTGTTTTGTAACATAATACCCATTAGATATTCCGTGAAGTAGTACAGTTGTATATATGTATTCATGCGGGCAGATGACTTACATAAGCTAACAAATAAAAACGTAAATTATGGACAAAGATGCATTATATTTTTAGGAGATATCTACTGCATCTTATCCATAATCCTGAAGAACAAACGAACAGTTCTACTGAATATCAGTATTTTGAAAGTATCTCCCCCAGAAGTGCTGGAAACAATTTAGATATTGACTTGAAAATAAAACAAATTGCGTATGAAGTCGAACAGAGGTGTTAAAAAGGTAAACAAAGACAGGTGTCATACACGATGAACAGGTTCATTAAATGCTTCTGGAACTATCTTCATATGGACACACGCAGAATCAGCACTAATGTGCTGGTGAACAAGAAGGCGCTTCATATGAGAAAGGTGATGAGGTAAGTCGTTTTGTCTGAAGCTGAGCATAATGAAACTACCTGGTAGAGCGATGTATTTGAAAATGAACTCTTCATGATGATAATGCACGTAAAACCACAAGATTTTGTTACGATGAAAGACATAGTAATAACAGCAGACCAAAGAGTAGTATTATCGCTAGTAACAATCTCATTCATGTCAATGAAATAAATAGACCAATTTTTTTAACTCGGTCAAATGATGATCTGAATATAAAGCTTTTGATAGAGGAAAAATAAGGACAGAATCAACGTGTGTCAAAATGGAGCATATAAAATAGTGAGGCAGGCAGACACGGAATATGTGAGCTATTGAATACAACAACAGAGTTACACTGTAAATGCATGCCTAAAGCACACACGTGCCTAGTGAGAATAATGGAAGTCTGTTGTCACCACATTTCAGATCCATCTGTTCTTCTTAATTGTATTTCTGAGGAACTCAAAGGAGTGTTAGTAAAATGCGTAAGTTGAATGCATAATCTTCTCATTACAGATAAATATACGGCACACAGTATATGGAAAGAGAAGAAAAAACAAAAAATGTCAGTAGAACACCGATAGAATGAGCAAGAGCCTAATTGAAACTAAAATAATGGTTCACGATATGTGCAACTCTAGTCCACCTGTACTTTGACAGAAGTTCCCATTGGAGTCTGTTCGCATGTCAATCCCATAATCCATTTCTACCTAATACACTGGGATAAATCAGGATGGTTATTGGTCACATGAATCCGCCCACATGTTCAGATTCAATTATTTCTAAAACTACTCACGGACAGTCATCTTCACTTCCATGAAATAATTGTGTTCCTATGTGGATTTATTAGTTTAAGGGTAACAAAGTTCGGTACAGTTGTGTATTCTCTGTCAAGATAAGTGTCGTAGCATTGATTTTATGATCATCATCGTTATTTGTATTTCTACTCAGGATAAACTTGAGCCTGTGTTTCAGAGAATAAAGATTGGTTTTTCATGTACAAGCTGGCCCGATATTAGCATCATACGGTGTAGGAAAGTAGCATTCTCATTTGCAATGAGCTTTTGCTGGTAACTGTTCAGCATGCCTTTCTACACTACGGTTTCATTGGGTAGAAAAAAGATGATTTAAAATTAGCCAGATATCCACATACCTGGCCAATAGCAAAAATCTCTTACGTGTTCAAACTAAGGAGAATTTCCTTATTTCTTTTTTGTTAAAGCCTTTCACTAAGAGGCTAGTGGCTTACTTGTCCTGCCTCTTATACTAACCGAATCCATTCTTTCGAATCTATGGAGGTAATACACCTGAAAGCCATGCACGCAAAACGTAAATCGCATCATTGCTGGGAAAATATCGCTAATATTCGTAAAAAAGCATGAAAAGGCAATATTCATTACTGGCCTACAAATATATGGGGTACAGTTTATGACCTTAGAAAAGACACTTACAAAGTAAACAGTTCAAGGATTTTTCAGTAAAAATATAACCACAGCTACCGCTCTTTTACTTCATCTTGTACACATTTCTAAAATCCAAAGCTTGTTCATAAATCAAACCTGCTCATCAACTAGGCTACCGGTAAAGTTTAGATACAAATAAAAAACACAACTGCAAGTCAACAGGCAGTCATTGGCCTGCACTTTTACAGCATTCACAGCACCAGCTGTTCACATACAATCAACAAATAATTTCCTCATGGTGTGACCGTTCAACAGGAAAGAAAAAAGGACTGTGAAAGTGTTAACACAGCTGGATAAAAGCCTTCACGATGGTCGACTGCTAAAGGTAGGCTGGCTAGCGACACATACACAGTGCAAAACATTTAACAATGGAACGGAAACAGTATGGTGAAGAGCTGACCGAATGGCTGTAGCACCTGACAAAAATCGTAGTGTATCTTTTCAAAGTAGCCTTACTAATAAGCACAACATGAAAAGAAGCCAATCAAAGGAAGACAAAGTTAAAAAAAGATGGAGGACACGCAGATGTAGGAAGAAATTATATTTTTCATCATGATGGAAGATGAGATAGTCTGCTGTCTTGGAGCATCCATCAAGGTTTGCTCCCAGTTAATAAAACAACCACTTTTCGCTCCATAAAACCTCTGTTGTAAAAATTGTGACTCATGTCAGTAGATACCAGTTTCATGCATCACTAGTAGCTTTTCAACGCAATCAACGTCAGGCGTTTACATATGATCGCACGCCAACCGGTATCATGGCAATATAAACAAGGGGCTTTCATGATTACCAATAAAGTAGTACACAGGGTTATTCATTACGAGAAGTAAAGCTTGGATCTTACTCTCTGCCTTATCCCGAAAAAGAAAAGAAAGTAAAACTTGTAGAGCCAAAAACGGTCATCCAGTTACACGCATTCAACAACACTACAGTCACAGAAAAAGATGATAGGAAGTTGAGCATGGTAGGACGAATGGTTTATTCCTTCAATGTAACACATTTTGAGAAGGTGAAGTGCGAATGCTAACAGCAATGAAGATGAAGTCACTCATAAACAAGCTAACATTCTTCAAAGACCGGCGACAAAACTACCGGAAGAAACCGTCTTCACGGTAGTGGCTAGTTTTTTTATTGCTCCAGTACATGGACCAAACTACCTTTAAGATCCACATCTCGAACCATATCGGATAGCATTTCACTATGAAACATCGACACTTTCAAAAGAAGATAGCTGGCTGCCATGTTTCAAGCGTCTTTTGTGCAATAATGTTATTCTGGACATAGCGCCACACCAACCAAAGCATCTTATTTATCCGACTTCCTATATCTGGCCTCCCAGTTTCTTATTGAATTTTCTCTCCAAATGTCGAAAATCCCAGACAACTAATGTTACCAACTAGCAAATACTTCATTTCATTTTCCACTATAAAAACTGAAGTCTTGATGTCATTCAAAAGAAAGACGTAGTGCGACATCATACAACCAATACCTAATTGATAAAAGAACTCATCAAGGAACATCAGATATGATATCAATCAAACATCGAAGATTAAAATTTCCGTTTTAAGACAGCGATATTTTCAATATAGAAACAAAAGAGTTCACATGCGACCAATATTTATTCGTGTTCGAATGGTTTCACAGGTTCTTCTGACCTTAAACCCCGAGTGACAAACAAAATTACAGTGAGAAGCATCAATTTTGTAAAGTACGATGACATCATTATATTTTGTCGGCTTCTTTTCACCTATATGCATACCATTCAAATTCAGCTATAATAAGAGAAAAAAAACTTACCCTAAAATTGGGAACCTACAGGCAGTGATTGGGTCAACTAGTTCGATCCCTGCGAAGACGAAAACAATACAGTAAAATGAGTCCGGGATTTTCTAGACATTTTTGTGAAATTATTGAAAATGAAAGCGTGGCCTGTCGATCATCCTCAGTGTTTTTCTGAGTTGCCGGTAGGATGTGAATGATTAACGCACATAATAAAAATAAATACAATTAGCAAATTTTCGAGTAGTTTTTGCCCTCTTCTCACACTTTCTCGTCTTACACTACTAACATCGATGCAACCGAACTCACAATTTAAACTCAGGTGAGAGACATTTCATATTATCAGTAAAAATAAAGAGATTTTACTGCGATCGATAGTGCTCCAACATCGTCTGGTTAATTCCTATAGCACCAAGGTTCAGATCAGTTAGAAGTAATGCATGAAGCTTAGTTCCTACATACATGAAAGGCGTAATTCTGATTACGACAGATGTAGGTCAGTAGCAGTAAAATCAGAGTTGATCTTTTTCACGCTCACTAAGCAACTGGCAATTCAGTATGATCCATGCTTAATGAAATCTGTGAAAAGAAAACTATGCTAATGCCATACAAAATCCTTCTGAATACTAACCATTATGCAAGCTGCACTTTTATACATTCAAACATCCAGACGTCTTTGAACCAAGATGGTAGCCGTATGATTTTTCTCCAACAAAATGCATGCGCTTCCTAGTGCTCCATAGTTCAAGTGAGCAGATGATGTAAATTTGTGCTGCAATTGGTAGTGGCCTCCACATAATTTGTTATCCATTGAAAACTGACCAGAACAACATACTACAGAACGCTTTCAACAACTGGAAATTGTCAACGATACTTACCTTTTATTTTACTTCTTGCCAACCTAAAATATGTATCTAGTCTGCTAACCTTTGAACATTTGTATATGATCTCCACACCTATCCAAACTTACACCCCACTGGTATGCATTCCACTTTCTTATCTCAGTATATTTTCTTGAAATTGAGAAAACTGATACTCACTCAATGCAGTTATTTTCCATGACCTAGTAAAGCTGGAATAGTCTAAAGTAGGACATAATAACTGGTTCATTCTGCTTAATTTAAAACAGGTAGGCTACTTACTGGTCTGTACTGAGCTGCGATAAATGTGAATAATCACAGAGCAAGAGCGACTCTACAACGGAAAAGTTTTCATAAATGTAGACATATTATCGAGTATATGATTACGGAACGTCAGCACTAAAACATAATGAATCACATGATGAGATGGTAACGAGTCAATTTGGTTAATGTGAACCTAATTCTCAGAAAAGGTGCTCAACAAGCTATGAAGGTAGATTGGAACATCGTTAGAGAAATGGAAGTTGAACTAGGCGGCGATGGATATCACTGTCACAAAGGTGAAGCATAATGTACTAAAGAAATCGAACGCCATGTTGATGAGGTTTAGTACGTGTATCAATCAATGTTACATAGACATGGAAATGTTAAGGAATACACACCTTTTCAGCTAGTTATGCCAAAATGTTTTCAACATCATTCCTACGTTTTTCACCACTTCGAAGAAAGTTGGCTTTCTAAGATTAGTTGTATATCAGTATTCGCAGTGAAGAGGGAAAATCACGCAAAACTTCATTGGACAAGATGGCGGAAGACAAAAATGTTGTAAGTGGACCTACAAGTCTGGGAAATATCATGAGATGAAATATTAAGAATATTTCCATGCATATTACACAATCATTCCACTACATAAATTAGTCCAGTGATTCACACAGACAATCCACAAAGGAGTCTGATTTCAAAGATAGTGAGTGATGCTCCTAATTGGTATATATCAGACTATTGAACCTAGTGGTCGCTGTTGTTGCATTTCCTTTCTCTAAACATTTATTTTGGTCAGAAGAGCAAGTGCTTTAAACTGAAATAAATCAGGCTATTAACGTTGTATAGAGTCGTTAAGATGTTCATTTTCCCACATATTGCTTGAGTGTTATGACTCCAATACAGTAGCACACCAGATTCATCTGTTGCACATCCTAATTTTGAAATTAACTAAAGTCAAGGAAATAAACACTTCAAAAACACAAGTGAATCTCGAGTAGTGAAGTATGTTACTTTTAGAAGTAGTTCAAACTGAATATATCTACACTGTTTCGAATCGCTTTCCACCCATACTGATATTTGGTTGCCGATTTGCATGAAGTTGAGCATTCATATGTTATAGCGTGAATGGAGGTAACA